GCCTCAGCATTCTCTGTTAATTATACTTTAGTAGAACATATCATAGCGACTACACTTGACTTGAAGATTATTATGTTCCAATCATACCTGCTTGTAACTTGAAAATATAAAATTTCAAAGTTGATGCTAAAATCCAGTGAAGAGCAAATGGTTCAACTACGTCCTACATCGAAATGAACGACTTGATGTGTTATGGATGTATAAGCCATATGAAACAGATTGAAATTTCGGACACTTGTCGTGAAGTCTGCTGGCCGAAATGAGACGGTGGTACAAATACCGCATTTGGGACCAGCTTCCTGAGCCAGCGAAGGTCGGGCGGTGACGAAGCAGTCCACCGTTAAGAGCGGCCTTATTGCCTGTACACTCAAGTTGGGCTGTAATCAAACTTCCAAAATGAAAGTGTCCTGCGGCTCTTCAACTCCCGTAGTCCACATGAAGGTCAGTTGATGAACATGACTTTTAAGACTGAAATTTAACGTAGCTTTTCATTTTGCCAATATAATGTTGGACGCCGTGCTAAACTTTTACAACCGAAAGAGTAAGTAGTAGGACTCTTCAACTCTACTGCTGAAGGTAGCCTGCTACGCTCAAACTTCATGACTGCATGTTTGTCTATAATGTTTAAAGATTAGGAATGCAGATTATCTGCAGTTTCCATACTCTAGCTGCCGAAAGTGGGCCACAGCGTTTGAAACTCATGGTCAATAGGGGTTGGTTGTGTCTAAACTTTGCTACTGAAGAAAATATTTTTCGCTGTTATGTGGCTGAGTGTCAAGCGGATCAAAATCTTTACAACCGAGAGTGCTTTGTGGCACTGAAACTATAGGACTGAAAATTTTAACTGTTTTCAGACTATCCGTGAATAATTCACGAGCAGAACGGATGTTTACAAATGTGAAATTTAATATTTTCTGCCAAGCCTAAATGCGCGTCAAAAGCAACCTATGACAAATTCGATCAACAGATGCCACTCTTAGGGCAGGTTCACACCATACTGCCGGACACGTGACAGGCATATGCAAGTCACGGTCCAGTCCAAAGTTATTTAATTAATTTAATTAGAAGCATTTACACCAGCAAGGTACACCATTTAATTCGAAGCATTTACACCAGCCGTGCAAGGCAGCAAGGCACCTGCGATGCCTATGGTGGGAATTTTTCTATAGACATTGCATTAAAGCATATTGGACTAAGCTGTGACTGGCACGTGCTCGGTAGTATGGTGCGGACCTAGCCTTAAAGTAGAAATAAACATATTATAGAATACAGCTACTGGACTTGCCGATCAAATCGGGCTAAAACATCTATTACACCGAAAAATATTTTCTACCCAAGAAATTACGATGGAAGACGGCTCTTCTGGCAGCAAGCGCAGGAGAGAGTGCGCGACTTCAGCCATGAAACATGGCCTCTGGCTACGGATGATTCCAAATACATAAAAATTCTCCAATATTGTTCAAGTGATGGCCATTGTGCGGTTGTAGCGAAAATAACTAATACACTTGACATTGTTTTTTTTAGTTCTTTACGAATTTTACGTATGCATAACTCGTTTGAATAAATATTTATGAAATTAGTTTAGTTTGGAGCTTTTGAATGTGGTTTTATTCAGTAAACTTACCAATATTTCGAACAACCTTGTATGCTTGCACTGAGTCAGAAGGCAGATAAGATGCGTCTCCTACATGACTCCTTCAACAGTCATCCTCTTATATCTCTGTAAAAAATGTGCATAAAATGCCAAATTACAAGTTTTTACTAACTTGTCCCGGCAAGTGACTCCAATCCGCCGTGACATTTATTAAGATAATATTATTTTAATGCCATGACTTCAGCACTGGTAGCGGAATTAAGAAATAGTTCACCATAATGCACATATTCAAGTTCTATCAAACATCAAAGACAGAGTCGCCATTTAAGAAAAAAATAAAGATCACCCGCATATTTTGCCAGTATTTCCTTCCATCAAATTTTCGTATGCATTAAGATAAATTTAATAAATCCATCAAATGAAATTTTTAAATAGTACTGTATTGATTTTTGTGTTGTCATGTTCTTAAGTTGAATTAGGTAATGAGATGTGTTGGCCTGTAAAGGATTAACTGTATAAACGTACTTGCCTGTGTGCTTGAGCTGTGTTAACGGTACGTTGATAACTTCCATTTAAGGGCGAGGGATCGAGTCCATGCAACGAAATCCTATAAACATTTTAAACTTACAAAGCCAGTGTACCTTTCAGAAGAAACTTTGGTCATAGGAGATAATTTTTTGCATTTATTATACTTCTAGTTGAACTGTGTAATAATCTGAAGTTTGTTCTATCATTCCTTCATACCAAAAGTTTATAGAAACAATACAGGAATAACTTCCATATTATGACAATTAGAATATTAATGAATCTTTGACTCTCTCGAGTTTATGTTCCTTTATCATCCTTTTTTCTTTCCATTCATACTGACCGATAAAATGAATACAATATATTAATAATGAATTGATCGTGAAACAGTTATAATTCAAACTCTCTTTGCAATGGTCAAGGCGTTTACGTTTCGAGCTTATTATAGCTTTGCATTTATGTCATTTTCCTGTAAGAAATCCGTTTATTCGTGCCAATATATTATTGAACGCATATATTCATTTATGGAAACTAACTTTGGTAATGAACGTTAACTGTTGCTTTGATCCCAAATCCTAACACAATTGCTCGTATTTCTTAGATCCGATAGCGTCCACGGTAGAACTGGTGCTAGAAATTCTCAGAATGGCCTTGGAATGTAGAACGCTGTTGGTGCGTGTGTTCTCTAGTTTATCGCAAAATGCGGAGCTGAAATCAAAGGGCGATTGATGTAGAAACGAGGCAAACGCTTAAAGCATCCATTAAGATTGCTTCGTAATGACAGCCTTCACTTTTGACCTCTATGTAAGAATAGATGTAGTGATCTTGCTGGTGTTGTATCGTAAAGAAAGAAACGCTTACGAGATAGCCACACTACCAATCCCTTGTTTGCAAATACAAGAGAAAATGTTTGTCGCTGAAATTCTGCTGCCATCAATATTATCTACATACTACATTATATCACTCTACTGGATATATTCAAAAACTAAAGTTTTTACTACTACTACTACCACTACTAAAAAATAAAAATCGAAAATTTTGGCTTTTAAGTTTTTTTGCTCATTTTGTAGCTGCTAAAAGGCGAGTCTAACGCAGCAAACCGCATGTATGTGCGTGCTCTAGTTTTTGCGTAAAGCAATTTAAAAAATACATAAAATGGACATTTGTTAACAATAGGTAAAAGGATTTATTTAAATTAAATCTGTATAATAGATCATTACTCTCGGTAATTGCAAAGTGTTTGCACTCGTTTGAAAGCTATAAACAAGACGCGTTCAACAAAGCTGCCACCATGGATAAGATTGCAATAATTTTTCCGTCAGGCAGTTTTGAACTTCTATAAAATGACCATTTTATAACAATATTTAAAAAATTTCATTTAAAAAATGTTATTTATAGATCATTATTTGCGTCAATTGCAAAGTGTTTGCACTCGTTTGAAAGCTACAACCGATGAGCGTTCAAGAGAGCAAATATCACGGATGCACATGCAATGTTTTTTGCGTTAGGCCGTTCTGATAGCTTATTATTCACGTTAAACTGGACAAGAGTAAGTTTAAAGACGCGTACTGGTACCTAAATGCAACTAATTGGCAATGGGAAAGCTTGGGCTACAATATCAAGAATTTTTTGGCCTATTCTTCAGTCTTTTTAATAAATTTGACTTATTTGTCTCTTTCGAACAATTAAAAGATCTGAAAAACGCCATCTTAAGAATCTATATCTTCCTATGATTTTCAAGCTTCAGCTTTGAGAGATATACCATTCTATTCGTAAATTCAAGATCTAGCTATTCACAAATTAATTTCATTATTTCGTTATAGTTTTGAATATATTTTTAGCGGAAAGGGGGGAGAGGCGAAAATCGAGCAACACCCCCCCTCCATACAGCCAAACAAATACGAATTTTGGAAAATTAATTGATGAATCACTATATACCTATAGTTTTTACGAATCGAATGATATGTATCTAGATGTTGTAGCACGTTAATTGAATGAGGAGATTTGAAAAGAACCCTTTTCCCCGTTTTCTATGAATTTCATGTTATCTTCATTTTTTTATAAAAAAAATTCACACGAACAAAACGGCCTTAGATTTCTGTTTTACAAATGTGTAACAAGTTTCAAAATGATCCGTTAGTAAATAAAAAAATTTGTTGAGGCAGACGCTCCCCTAAATGACTTTAACATAAGACAAATAAGAAAAATTAATACACTGTAAAATTAATACATAATTTGATGCCATTATTAACTTACGCGAATGATTTTTCTGTTCAATTAAAATTTTGGGCCAAAAATTCCCAAGTTTGAAATTTTGTTTAAGTTTATTTTTTTCACTTGCTTGGTTACAGGTTGGCTGAACTTGGCAATCTAATACCTAAAAAAACATTCGGGGCTGACATGCCTCTGTTAAAAAATTAATATGTGGCTAAATTCATAGACAACCACGGAATGCTAAGAAAATTCACGTAATATCGTTGACTGTTATAGAGCAAATAAATAAAAGTCACATTTCTTGGTCTTGTAGTGACTCGAATTTATATCTCTCACTGTCTCTCGTTGTGAATGTCGTAATTAATTTTATTAAACCGTCAAACTTGTTGATCATCAACTTCTGTAACTATATGTAACTTAATTATCTTGAAGTCGCCTACTTATTTCGGATTTAATCAATTTCACTATTAAAGAATTATGCAATTATTCAGTCAGGAAATCTTGTCAATTTTTCGAGCACGAATAACACTCGCGTAATTCCTGAATAATAAAATTCAGTTACGACAAAAATACTTTTACGGTATAAATGGGTCACTCAAAATTGTGAATTCTTTTTAGAGTGTGCCTGCGGGCAACATTAGCCAGTCATGCTTTAGATTTAGCTTCATTTTAATTTCGGGCTAGCGTCGTTAACAGGTAAGGCAACGTGGTTCCCAACGTGGGCGATATCGCCCCCCTAGGGGCGGTGGAAAGATTTTGGGGGTGTAAGGAAGTAGAGGGCGGAAGGGTGGCGATAGGGGGGCGGTAGTCAGAAGTTCGAACTTTTGTTTGACGATTTGTACACAACACGTACAGCACATCATTACTACCAACGATGGTTTTTTCACCCAGATCTGTTTTTAACCTCTCCTGGGTTTACGTCTCGGACAATTTAACGGCCGGACTCGCGGCCGGTCTCGCGGCCAATTTCCAAATTCAATGATCAAGGAATATCTCTCAAACTAATTAACTCAACTCGATGAAACTTGGTACACGAATCCATTAGGACCTAACGATAATGTTTCGCTCGTGGCCACGAGTCCGGCCGTAAATTTGCCCGAGACGCCCTAGGTTTCTAGTGCTGAAACAGTTAAAACAGATGAAAAACATATTGGTTCACTAAATGGGGTTCTATTTGTGAAATACACATTTGTGTTTAACCTTTATCTTTTAAAATTGCAGTGTACTAAATTTCAAGAAAGAGGCGCATGTCTGTGGGGGCGCTAAAAACTCACTAGGGAGCAAAAGGGGGCGCCAGCCTGAAAAAGTTTGAGAACCACTGAGGTAAGGGGGTAAGATGCCTAGTCAAGTTTCGGAATTCAATTCAGATAATTATGATTTATTATTGCCAACATAATAACTAAATTCCCATTTGTATTCCAATATTCTTTCATATTGTTGTTATTCCAATTTAATCATGTCGTGTCTTTGTTCTGTAGTGACTCGTATTCATAACCCACACTATAAATTTTTGTCAATATCGTAGTTAATATTTTAAACCTTCAAACATCAACCTCTATAACTATATATGTAACTTAATATTTTGAACTTCGGTCATCAAATATTGTCAATTCTTGAGCACGGATAGTAACACTCGTGTAATTTCTGAATGATTAAAATTCAGTGAAGGAAAGAATTATTTTTATTTTAAAATCGTACCAGCGAATATCGTGAATTTTGTTAAGAACGCCAGTGTGGAACCATTTGCCAATCGCGTGTTAGATTGTTAGTCATTTGCTAGACGACGTCGTAGGGTGAACATCAGCTAAGGGTAAGATGCAAGGTTTCCGCTAGAATTCAATTCCTATAATGCAGTGAAATTATGAAACATTTCAGTCTAACTGTCATAACTAAATACTAATTGTGTTTTCTGTATTCTTTTTATATTTTTATTCCATCGTGTTCATGTCATGTCGATCCTAACGGCCATCACCGATACAGGTGTTGGTCGGTCGGCGTCAACGTTCTTCAAACTCCAATGAAATCACTGAGCTTCACAGTCTTTACTCCAACCCCACAGCCCACAAGACGTGTTCAATTAACCTAATAGGAAGAGGAACGGTTGCTATCACTTCTAAATCTCAATTCTCAACCCTTTTAGCACAGCCTCTTCCAAAGTTCTAACAACCTTCCAACACGGCAACACCTCATGTGTTGGTCGGAGCCATCATCCTTCAACCCTCAATAAACTCTCTGAATTTTCAGTCTTTACTCCAACCTACATAATACATATTCAACTTGTTAATTAATAAACAGGGAAAGCCGCTGTAACAATCTATCTACAATCTCAAACACCGTTAGAAACCCCTCTTTATTCAGCCTACAGGGTGAGAGGCTTAAGTCGAAGAGAACTTCGAGGTATCGTCTGATTGTCAAACTGAAATTTCAAAATATTCTGATTTCCCCTACAAAACAATCTGTTAAATTCAGTTAGTTTTTACCTGCAGTTTATTTTTTTAACTCCTTTATTATTCACTCTATTATGCAATAGCCGAAGAGAATTTTGAATAGATCATCTAGTCCAACATGCGTTTGATAAAATTTTACAGTTTACCATGATATTTCTAGTTTTCTACAGACAGAGTACCTTATTGCAGAAAACTATTGTGAGCATTAACAAGCTATTTCATGTTTTTGAGTGCTCGATTAATTTTTTTTTTTTTTAAGTTAGAAGCTGAAGTGAATTAAATCAAATTTGCGTGTATAATTTTCTAGCTCAATAGGACCGTACCGAAATGCTTTCGATGACTGAGGACGAGTTTCCAGCAGATGTTCCGTATGAACAGAATAAAGTTAATTCATTTAGAATAGAAGTGTCGGCGTTGAAGACATAGGCCCATGGCCTGTTGCCGATTCTTGAACTTTTCGTGACTTGATTCACAAGGGATCCGGCCTTTGGAACCCGATCTTTCCATAACTGACGATTGATTGAGATAGCTGCTGGACTTATTGCCTGCTCCGTAATTTGCTAGGCATTTTAAGACTGAACATATGCTCCTGCATAGCTTCGTCTAGTCTGTTTTTGAAGATGTTCATACTCGGAGCTTCAACGATGCTATCAGGGAGGCTGTTCCACATGTCGGTGACTCGAAGCGAGAAGAAATGTCGCATGGATGTATTCCAACGCTGTTTTTTTAGTTTATAGCCGTGGCCCCTGGTGTTGGTTCTTGTTTCAAATTCTAGTAATCCTTCTGGGACCTTGTATAAGCCATGAGTATATTTGTATACTTCAATGAGGTCCCCATTTACCATCAATTGCCGCCAGCAAATCAAAAATTTTCAATGATATGGCATTGCGTAGTGTGTCATCGATGTACATTCATATAAATTCTATAGTAAATGTGGTTTTCAGTTGAAAAATCGTTTATGACATGGAAAATATATTATTTCAGTGGTAAGCGAGAACACATTCAATAAATGAAGATCCGCCTCCCGTACGTTATAATAAAATTTTTTAGCTACGTCAAACAATGTCAATAACACAATATGATGGTTATTAAATATCTACATCATTGATCACCCATTTAATACAATGCTCTCTCGTCATTAATGTCTTCGGAACTTCATTTCTGCTCTCCTCGTTCTGCCATTTTTGGGACGAGCTTAGACCAAAATTTTATATCGCAATCATGCTGCACCCATAACATTATAATATATATAGCGGCTTCAGTGTTATTAGGCCGCATATGCTTGTCGCCGATTTTTAACATCGCAGAACATTCACAGCTTGTTGCGGTCTCGAACTCACAACTCACTGCTCCAAATTCTGCTGTTGACCGCCCGGCCTCCTCGCCTATTCTGATCATAAACGGGCGCACAGACAATTATTGAACCCGCGCCTATCTGCGCCAATCTCGGTACTCTGAACCACTGGGCCCCCCTGTCCTTATAAAATACCCTTATAACCATTGTGCCCTGCCAAAATCATCAACAAACTTTTTTCTTGTAATATGCTTTCGCGAGCGAAGATTTGACACAGTTAAGCTTGACAAAGAAGCACAAACTTAACGTTTATCACCATGCGCGAAAACAAAACGGAGGACAAAAACGATCGCTCGCCTCTCTCAAAAGCGCATTGCAAATAAAAAGTTTTGTTACAAGATGGCTCAAGATCAGTTTATATTTGACAAAATTTTGGGTGCAAAGGGTGGTGCATTTGAGCGCTGTGAAATTTCGACCAGCACCTGTCTTAGATTTTGTCCCAGAAATGTCGTAACGGAGAAAACAAGTTTGAAGTTTCTAAGACATTAATGAGGGGCATTTTGCATGATGGCTGTCAGAAGATACTACTGGTAGCTTGCTCGATAAAATGTCTTTGCATGCAATGGTTCACTCCTAAAGTCCAAAAATTCTGCCTTTTTTATTGTCAGATTTGCTGCCCTCTGCATTAAATACTTCACCCCTACGCTCTAATGGGTCAACCTCGTTCCCGTATCTTACGGTATCTACCTTTCACGATAAAGAGTTAACCCTTAGCATGCTATAGTTCACAACTACAGTTAACCCTTACTTAGCAAGCATGCTATAGTTCACCCCTACGGTTAACCCTTAGCATGCTATAGTTCACCCCAATGGTTAGCCCTTAGCATGCTATAGTTCACCCTTACGGTTAACCCTTAGCATGCTATAGTTCACCCCAATGGTTAACCCTTAGCATGCTATAGTTCACCCCTACGGTTAACCCTTAGCATGCTATAGTTCACCCCAATGGTTAACCCTTAGCATGCTATAGTTCACCCCTACGGTTAACCCTTAGCATGCTATAGTTCACCCTACAATCCAATGAGTCAGCTTCGTTCCCGTAGCGGCCTTGCGATATACACTTGTCTGCGTGATTATTAATTCCGTTAATAGTTAACTTAACCATTCCTGTCTCAATAACACTGCGCTTTTAGCGATTAATTTTGATATCTCCTGGTCAGGTTACTAATTTAGTTGTTTATTTTTTCTTTAAAAACTGATATTTTTATAGTTCAATAAACTCAGAGAACTGCGTAAATATCTAATATTATATATGAAGGACCGAAATAAGTTAGACTGTCTTAATCTTCCATGGAGAAGCATTAATGTAGTGCGATCTTACTATTAATACTAATATAAGGTAGTATAGGTAATAATTAATACGTGAATTACCTATATTACGTAAATTACCTAAATATATAGGTAATTACCTAAACTAATACGTTATAATTTGAAGCCTCAAATTGCTAAAGTTATCAATGTAATGAAGGAGGACACCATGCAAGATGAATTTATTTAAATGAAACAGTCTTCGTCTCAGTCTGTATAAATCATTTCATCGGAGACTCACAAAAATTATTATACATAGTTTCGTCCAATATTTAAATAAGGATTAAGATTTCAAAGAAGGCAAAAAGTTTTTTTCATTATGATGAAGTTCACCACTTGTAAATTTCTAACAAATTATGTCCCGAGCAACAATGATTCTGGAAATTTGAATTAAATGCAAAAATGTATTTATCTCTATTTAAATTCTCCTGTCGCTTCTAAGCTGATGAATTATTAATGTAAATCATTTACAATTCAGTTTGCCATCAGCAATAATCCATTATCCATGTGTTATAACTATGTAAAAAGACAAACAGGAATATATGAAAATCATAAAATATAACCCTTGTTAAAATACGTCATAAAATGACATAAATATTTTTTCTCTAACAAAATTGAAAGTTCTCAATGGGACCACGCAAAATTTGACACACTGCATTTCTCACTTATAGTTGACCCTCACCCATGCACTGCTCTCTCCATCGCCCCTCTATTGTTCACAATTTTAACATGCAAATTATTTCACATTCTCTCTCCACCCGTTCCCAGTTCTTGGCCTGTTGCTCAGCTCACCAAATCATGAGAGAGGGAAACGCGAACTCAAAGTCTGGACATACGTAGGCTACAGCTACGCAAATGTCTGTTCTGAAATACAGTGGGAAATATAGGATAAAAATTAACTGCTGCGTCGCGACACTACTCCGAGTTTTCTGCTGGCGTAATTGTTTAGATAAATTGTTTCCATAAAAACCTTCAAAATTAAAACAATTTATTAATTATTAAAACAATTTTTAACCTTCAAAAATTAAAAAAAAAATCACTGGCTCAACGATATTTCGGTATGTGACTTCATGTGACTTCTAAATATGCTTCAACCCTATCCTTAAAAAAAATTTTTAGTCAATCCGTGCGTGTGATGGACGTTCAATTCAAGGTGGCATGACAGCCATCGAGTCAGAATTATTTTTGTCCAACGTACAACCTGCAATTTTTTTTAGAAATCCTTGCGCTGCATTTCGTTATTAAGGCACCTGATTGCAATGGCTGTACAAGTTCTACCTCTAATTCCATAAACAATTTTTGGTATAATAAGTAGTACAACGTCAATAAATGGTGCAAACGATGTTTTAAAAAATCTTTAGAAATCATGAACAAATAAAGAAAAAAGTTTTTCCTTGTATTTATAATATCAAACATACTGACTAACCGCGAGTTGTTTATGAGAACTTCGAACGAAGTATCTGACAGGCCAACCAAGAAAAATGTACCCGATGTAAATCACTGTGTTTACTTCATTTGAGAATTTATAATTAAAAACGACGCGTACCAGTTGTGTGAACTAGACCACACTTCTTATCCCATGATATTAATAAGTTCATTTCATTGTATCCTTTTTTCAGTTGAGAATACATATTACGATCACATATTATCCCCCATGTTCACGGAGATGACACCCGCACCCCTCGCTCAGGTTTCAGCGAAATTCCCACCGACATGACACAGTTTTTCAAGGTCTGCGCATGCGTGAGTTATACTTGGGCGGATATTCTTTTGGGTTCTTCACGTCCGTCAAACTTGCAAAAATAAAATTATAAATTTCAAGTAATTGCTTCGCACGCCTGGGATTCTGAGGGCGTCATTTCTAACTTGCTTTTTTGAGTTTGCAATGGGTCATTCTCAAGCAGGAAATGCATGTATGTATCGTTAACCTTCGCAGACTCAGTATATAAGAGCCGGTGACAAATTTTGAATTCACTCTGGCAACCTACTCCGAGCTGTCAACATATTGACTGCAGAACAGCGTTTCCAATAAAATAAGCAATAATGAACAAGGTAATGTTCCTCTAGTCGAATCCTACTTCAAAATTCGTTCACCGAAAGATACTTGAATTCGTGACAATGTCGTATGCTCGAAATATAATTAATTTGTTCAGCGAGACTAGAAAAACAGACAATGTGAAAAAATAAGACTCGAATTCATCTCATTTGAATTTTATTCTAATTTATTGAACGTGGCCCCCGCCCCCCAGATCCCGAAAACATATCTCCTGGCCTTGCTGGTCGTAGCGGCATCTGCCCAACGCTATTCAGCGCCGCGTAGGACGTTCGGGAGCAGCTCCAACTCTGGATCCTTCGGGAGCAGCTCTGCTGCATTCGGAAGCAACTTTAACGCCGGTGCTTTCGGAAGAAGTTCTGGCCCTGTGGTCCCGATTTTGAGGGATGATAGAAACGGTCCCAATAACGGCGCCTACGACTTCTGGTTCCGGACGGGCAACGGCATCGAGAGGAGGGAGCAGGGAGCGCCCACTGGCCCCAGGGGTGCTGTTGAGTCCAGCGGCTCTTGGAGGTAAACATGATTATGCCTGATCAGTGGCCGGTGTGATCATGGCGAAGCTGAAAATTATTTTCATCCCTTGGACTATATCAAAAGACAGTTTACTCATAGCTTCTCTGAGAATCATTTAGCGGATAACAATACCTTAAAACTATCATCGATGAAACTTTCACTTCTTTTTTATTGCACTGAACAGAAAAATCAGCGTGGGTTGTAATGTCCGTTATATTATCATAGAAAATAAATAAACTCTGTTCTATGCCAGAACATACGCAGTTAAAACATTTTTATTTTAAGCATTGTGGAGACAAATTACAATTTTTAAAAAATTATCATTTACGTATAATTTTAGCTTAAGAACTACTAACTTCAGCAATTGTGGACAAATGTGTTCCTATTTATCTGCATAGTCATTATTAAATTGTTATTTAAATTTTATTCCATGCTAGATTCATTTAATCAAAACGTTGTTATGATCTTAAAATTTCCATCCCTTATTAAACTTGACAAAATTTTCTAGTGCGCAAGTTGATATTTTTTTAGGCAAAAAAAAACATATTATTTGATAGTTCATATCATTTTGTCCAAATTTTATGAACCTCCGTGCGACCAAATTTATTGTGAACAAAATGTTTCCCGTCAGCTTTACCTTCCCGGACGGCACTCCGGCGTCGCTGAGCTTCGTTGCGGACGAGAACGGCTACCGTCCCGAGTCCTCGATGATCCCCACGCCTCCCCCCCTCCCCCGCCACGCCATCGAGCAGATCGAGTTCGCCAGGAGGTCGTCCGGCGGACGGCCATCCAGTGGCGGACAGGCTGCAGGCGGCCGGCCTTTTAATAGCCAAGGCCGATACTATAACTGATCAAGTTCAATGAACATAATTTATGGAAATATTAAAAATATTTTTGGCAATCCGATTAAATATGTTGATCACCGATGAACCTCAATAATCTCTTCGTAACTTCACGATTCCATGATAGAACTGTACTTAAAATTTTTCTATTAAAATGCATATTCCTGATATACAGTGTATTTTATTATCGTACAATTATTCATGCTAGTAATGCATGCGCAAAAAGAGCGTATAGCCATCTTCTCATACCCATGCTGTGGCATCTGAATGATCAATAATATGAGGAATGCGCAGCAGTCCTTTATTGTTTGATTGATCGACATGTGAGGTATTTTTACTCCGTATATGAATTCGAGTGCAGAGATCGTAAACCACGACATCATAGACCAACACCTCATGTGTCGAATGGTATGAAACACAAAATTATGAGAAAAGTTCAATTCATGTGGGATTAGGTCTCACACGCCAGCGTCAATTGTTTATTCCATTTATTTTGCTTCCGAAACCACTATAAAAAATTGCAGTAAAAAATAATTTTTAATTATCGGAGGAATACATCTCAGTATGTCCCTAATAGGACACCATACGACATTTTGTTTAGTGATGAATCGCGAATGCTTCCAATTGCGATATAATAATAAACGACGTTTTACAATAGGAAAATAATCATGTTTTGAAAATAACCAATAAAATTCTTGCTATATAGTACCAATAATACTCTTGCTATACAGTAAGAGGTGCAAAATTGGGCATCAATAATATGAACTGCCAAACGCTATTGCTTCAGGGTAATACCCTGAAGCAATAGCGTGTTAATGCAGCATATTTTATGTTGATTCACAATTTCGGTATGAGAGCCATCATCCACTGCTAATCGGCGAAGCCATTTCAAATAAGTTTATTAATCACTACTTTGAAGAAAACTCCGTAGATCAAGACGCTTCGACGTAAAGTTAGAGATGCGTGCGAATGTAAGGTGATAGCGGTAAGAGAATGAAGATATCTTCTCTTTAAAATTAGCATTTGCATCGAGAAAAAATTACCGGATAATATCATTGTTTACCACTCCAACTGAACACAATTCCCTTCAAGGAAAGATAGGAGCATTACTTGACGAAGGATACTTGACGCTCATAATGCATATGAGATTACTTTGACGTTCCGCCACAACGTTCTAGTGTTATTCTAAAACTATTTTTATACACAGAATGGAATAGAAGTGCCGGCACTGAAGAAAAAGGCCCATGGCCTGTTGCCGATTCTTGTACTTTTCGTGACTTGATTCCACAAGTGATCCGGCCTTTTGAACCTGATCTTTCCATAACTGACGATTAATTGAAATATCTACTGGACTTATTGCATGGTCCGTAAGGTGATAGGCATTTTAAGACTGAACATATGCTCCTGCATAGCTTCGTCTAGTCTGTTCTTGAAGGCGTTCATACTCGGAGCGTCAACGATGCTATCAGGGAGGCTGTTCCATATGTCGGTGACTCGAAGCGAGAAGAAATGTTGTCGCATGGATGTGTTACAACGCAGTTTTTTTAGTTTATAGCCGTGGCCCCTGGTGTTGGTTCTTGTTTCAAATTCTATGAATCCTTTTGGAACCTTGTATAAACCGTGGGTATACTTGTATACTTCAATGATGTCACAACGCAGACGTCGATAACAGAGGCTTGGAAGATTTACAATTCCGGCGGAATGTTCTGGGGTTATTCCCTATTAGTTTCACGATCCAGTCACGTTAGTTTCCGTTTTAGTTTTGGGCTAAGCTCAAATACTACTTAATCGTTTTTGCGGTTCAAGTTTTAACTTGAAATTAAACCCATTCTCCAATTATTAGTCTACAGATACGCATGAAGCATTAATATTTTTTTATTGATTGCTACCAACCTCACTGTTATTTGGTTCAAATAATTAATAATTGTTTGGCTAGCAAGAGGAAGGCTTTAGTAGCGTTCAAAACATCGGTAGAAATTGGAAGTTGGTAAGCGATAAATTCATCAACAAATCCACGATATTATTGCCAGGAATGTCTACAAATTATACCCATTACTATACAACATTGATGATTTTTTAGAAGTAATATCGTTAAAATAATATTATTAGCAATAATAATCAATATTATAATAAATAATAAATATTATCATAATAATATTACCACAAATTTCAACTAATTATGCCATTTCCTAAATTTCATTTATAATTTATAATAAATAAAATCTTTTTCAGTCAGCTCATTAGTTAAAAAATCGTTCAGACTGATACAGTCGTTGCAATGATCTTCTTTGAAGCACCCTTCATATTTCAGCTTTTCTATTCTTTATATGATAGGTAAACAAAATTCAACATAGAACGGTTAAAATTTGTATGAACAACAATTTATGATAAAACCTTTACAAATTTTGATCAGCGTGCCTTGCAAGCATTGAAGTTAACCTTCTGCCCATAATATGAGAGAGCAATCGACTTTGATTTTAATAGGAATTAATATAGGACTTTAACCGACATTAATTATTATTATTATTAATAATTATTATTAATAATATTATTATTATAATAATATTAATATTAATTAATATTATTAATTATTATTAATATAGGACATTAACCGACAGTTTCATGACAAAAAAAATAAGGTTCTTATTGTCTTTCAACGAGGCTCATCTCATTCCCAGGAAGTGAAGTACGCTATAAGCTGAGTCGGCTGTTTTAATCTTCTCGTTTTAAACATCTACTTTAAATTATTGTTCTACTTCCATTCAGTCTTAGTTTGTTGGCGGTCTTGCTCACAGTTGAATATCTTCGTTCTGTATTCAATAATTGCATTCATTTACGGACATGTTATTTTCAGAATTAAATTTACAATTTTTAAAGTTCTATTTCAAAAAGGAGACATTGTGTACTTGATGCCGGATAATTTTACATTACTCAAAAATATTACCAGAACATAGGAAATAATCGCCTTAGAATCAATCCAGATTAAATGAGATTACTTAACTCAATTATAACCTAGCTTTGCCTTCTACGAAATTTATTTAGATAATCTTGTCTTTTATGTTGAGCTTCATAAGATAAATGGTCTTTAGGAGTTTTCTGGCAACGCGAATTAAATCATGCAAGTTTTTCTTTACAGGAAAAGCATCGAAACGGTAAATACGAAGCGATAGTAAAAAAAGTTCATTCTTATTAGTTATGATAGTGTTGGTGGTTTTATGGAATGCAAGAAGTACAATTGCGTATATAGTGCTAAAAAATATAACTCAGTACTCACTGCAGTGAGTGACAGAGAGCGCATTTTCTCGTCGACGAAGAAAACTTGAGGTCACGGACAGACGGACGGACAGACGGACAGACAGACAGACAGACAGACAGACGGACGGACGGACATGGCGAGCACAATAGTGCATTTTTTCCATAAATGAGAAAATGCGTTGAAAATCATGAATAAATTAGACCTCAATTGCAAACATGAATTCGAATAATTATATTTTTTGAACGCCAAGAGTTAATACATTAAAAACTTTTAAAAATTTGTATTTTGCTTAATAACAACTTTTCTGGAGGCTTGTTGTTGAAGGGTCAATAATTATTGTCTTGAATTATTCTTGAATTATTATTATTGTTGTCTTGAATATTATTCGAACATTCATGCGCAGACATATGTCATTAGACACATTTTGGGACATTATACGACGAAAAGGATAAGCTCAATCAGTCTCAAATCTGAAGTTACTTTATAGTTTTGTATTCTAGAGGATGGGAAAAGCTATAACTCTTAAAGGAGTGTCCTCGATACGGCATCACCGCAAATTCTCGAGTAATGAACTTCGATTCCACACGTCAAATGGACTTCATTTCAGGACCTGAAAATAATAAAAACTGCTAATTGTCTGAAAATATAAATCTCCTCCTAAGTTTGATAATTAAAAAGAATTTGACATTTTCAATGGAATTATTATTATTAGTTTAGAGACAATTACATTTTCCATCTTCTTCATTATTTATCTTTATTTCATTTTAACTAAAAGTATTTAAGATTTTTCAACTAAATGAGGGATATATTACTTGATTGCGTTTTTATTATTACCTTAATTAAATAACCTAATATTTGTGGCCTTGAAGCCACTATGTGTGGTACTAAGCAGGTGATTCCGCTATTCTAGCTCAAGATGACGAAACGCGAAATGCTTTATTTAAGCTATGTAGGAACTGCGTTCCCCGCATGTGCACCTTTACATAGAGTCAAGTAAATATTGGAAGTGTATGAGTTTGGGGGCAATGCAGTTTTTTCAGTACAATTTTGTCTGCAGAGGAGAATTTAGATGTTTTTTTTCAACAGCGCTTGTTGATGAGTATTGAATTTCTATACGAGGATAAATTTGAAGACGGTACAGTAATGGAATTTCTCATTAATATTTGATGAATGTTGTTTTCTAGTATGATTGGCAAAACTGTAAACTTTTTTCAAGTACTAGAAATCCGACAATTACGTTTGAGAGTTTAAAATCGAATGTCATCGAAATTCTATGCAAAGCTTTCTTTTTCTAAGCGAATAGAAATTCGCATGCAACGAAATTTCTAACCTGATGTAACGTGCTCAACATCTACATATATATTTTCTAATTCGAACTTCTAAAACATTACAGCAACGCTTCTCTTCCATTCCTTTTCTTTCCATATAAAAATTATTTGTCTCATCAATATTTCTTGTTCTCTCTGTTCCAATCCGTGATCAAGTTTTGATGCGTCAACATGATTATTTATGATATCAAGGGATTTGTTTTGGGGGAAAAAAATGTCATAATTGAATAAAACATTGTCGAAATATATGCTTATTTTATTGTTCGTTCGGTATTTTTCGCATGTACATTACAGGTTTCTTTACACTGACACACCCCGTCAAAAAACGAGCCTCTTTTCGTACCCCTCAAATTTGTGACGCTGTTTGGTGTCAATATGTCAGTCAAGCTAATAGAGAATTAGATAGTTAATGGGACTAAATTCAATCGCAATCCAGCGATTAATAAAGTCGATACATATAGTTTGAATGTATCGAATTCTGTCTATGACATAGAATATTCCACATACATCAGCCAGAAAAAATTCGGAATTAAAATAAAGCTCGATTTTCAAATTTTTAGGAAATTTCCATAGATCCTTTTATTGTGTAATGCTTCCTATTCAACGCGAAATTGCATCGCGAACCGTCATAGCTTAAGTGCTTAATTGTACCGACGTCTGCTGCCCTGCGACTGTCCGCCGCCGTATCTGCTGGGGTCGTACTGGCCGTCATGCACGATGCCCTGCGCCCTCTCGCGCGCTGCCTTCTCGATCTGCTCGATGGCGTGGCGGGGCAGGGGGTGAGGTTTGGGCAAGAGAGGAGACTCCACGCGGTAGCCTCCTTCGTCCGCCACGAAACTGAACTGAGCCGGAGTGCCATCCGGGAACGTGAATCTGAACAAAAATTCGAACAATTATATGCACCACAAAATATTTACCAATACATTTCGTTGAAGATAATGTGCAACGCATAGCAAGAGAGCGCTTATAACGTCATCACTACACTAAATTTAAGGTGCTTTTATCTGAAAAGTAGTAATGCAAACTTCTAAATGTATTCCGTGCGATTTAATTTCAATCAATTGGCGCTAAGGAAACTTACGTCCATCCTCCCTGAGAAACAACAGCTCCGTTAGGTCCCGACGGACTGCCCTGTTCGTTGCGTCGGATGCCGTTGCCGGTTTCGAATTCGAAGTTGTAGGCGCCGTTGAGGGGGCCGCTGCTCCGCTCGCTGATTATTGGGATGATTTCGAAGGGGCCAGACAAGCGGTTGTAGTTCTGAGGCGCGCACATGGCCGCCGACACCAGCGAGAGGAGGATTGCGTACTGCAAAATATTGTTAATTTTTCATTTGAATCATTGATGAATAACAATACGACTAAATATAAAAATTGGATGATGCATTAATTATAGTCGCTTGAAATATTTTAAGGTGACTTTCCTTGAAGATTTCGAGATATTTTCACCTCAATTTCAATGCGCACGTCGCTTTCTAGTATTCCGTGAATTTGCAAAAAAATATTAATTGCTATTCAACAGACCAATCTTTATGAAATATATATTTTCAGAACATATAATACTCTCAAGATAAATGAGAGTATTATATGTTATATAGAGTTAATTGCACGAATGCATGCCTATGTCCTGGGGTGGCCTCTCAACTACCATTGCAATGAATTGCGAAACATCTGATGTGTTTCACGATGTTTATCCTTAACTCGCTACCTAATAATGCTTTTTGACGCCAGCCGTTATCAGATGATGGTCTTAAAATTAGAACAAAATTTTATAAGAACTTTCACCGATACTTTCTATGATAACTACTCAGTACGCAAATAATTATATACCTAACATCTGTATTATATTATGAAAAATTCTCAAAATTTAATCCCTAATAATTCAGCGTCAAACATCTACTTCTTTTAGCTCTGCCATGTAACTGCAACAACCTCAAGTCATAACTTGGGGAGTTGTTGTTCGCTCACCGAAGACATGTTATGAGGTAGGCGAGCTCGGGTCAACTGTGAGGATCCCGTGACTCGCAGCTCCTTATATACTCGACAGCCAAATGTCACCTTTGACTCCGAGCGATCAGTGAGAACATCAGGCGAGTGCCCCAGACTTTAAATACGAGCGTCTGGAAATGGATGATCTTGGGAACCGAGATATGGGAATGGTGGGAGACTCATGCATTCAGGCATGCAGACTGACCTAGAATAACTAATGGTTAACCTTGATCCAATTACAAAGGGAAATAAACCCGAATATGGCAATTATAGTTGTCAAGAAACTAGTTGATAAATTTAATTAATAACAAATTTGCCTCGTTTTTTTGGAATTAAAATCTTAAATGCATAAAATGAAATCAACTATGTATAATAGTATCTAAGTTTCTTTTAATCTTAAATTGTGAGCACATTTCTGTATCTGATGGGGAATATTAGGACGTGAAATATAGTAAATGTTTTTTTGTAACTACTTTTCTATTTTTTTAATAATATCGGTGCTGTATCTGGGAAACATACTTGGTGTTATTATTTCCGTCAATGTTTCATTTCTAAGTTCTATGTAATGTTCTAAGTTCTATGTGAGTTCTCTATTATATTTGTATTCTATTATATTAGGTTCTCCATAATAAGTTCTTGTATAAGTTCCCTGTTATCTTGGTTATAGAGATTATCATCCTAAATATGCACTTGCCAAACCATTAGGTATATTAATAATTATGGTGCGCACAGAACCATTAATTGTGCCTAATTTGGATTTTAACTGAGAGAAGAAAAGTCGTCTTTCCCGCTTCATGATGGTTTTCTAACGTAACAAAAACAAGGCACGCTAAAATTTCAAATAATCACGAAACCCATTCAAACGTTGATTTGATAATTGGTAGAAACACTAATTCTCTACATAGTGAATGGAAACTTTAACAAATTATATAATTTCATAACCTTGACTATTTATTTTTTAATTCCTCGCGGTAGTATTGATACCAACGTAAATACATTTCGACGATAGGCGCTATCAGAGGAGTCCCTTCGCAAAGTTCAGATTTACTCTTATGCAACAACATCAAATTTCATAATGACATGACGCTCACCACAAATTTTCTATACTGTTAAACGAAACTCGGCGATGTCATCCTTCCACTTTAAAGAACATTTAAACCCACTCTGATTGAATAGAAAAATGGACAGTTTTTTAATACAGAGATTCAATTCTCGTGGCTTGTAGATGACTATTGGTCATCTGATAGTTCATATGGGAGAATTATCAACTCCATTATTATTGACATGCCAAGGTTTGACTCCGTGTTAATCATGTTTCAAATTAAATATCCAGAATGTTCTGTCGAATTCAAATCCTCAGTTAATAATATTGAATCCATGAAGTGATTGTTTAAAAATGTTAACAACCAAAAATGTTAACAACTATTAAGACTAGTCCCTTTTACATTGATAGAAATTTCATTCAATAATTGGCAAAAAAAATACATAATTTTCTCCGATGCTACTTCAAATGTCCTACTGAATACCACAATAATTTTGGTTTCTTAAATCTAGCATTACAGACTGACGTCGAGAGTAAAAACGCCTTACTAGGATTGCAGAATATGTTAAAAGAAATCAATTTTTCGGATAGCCTTATTTACGCAAAAGAGTGGGTATCAAGTCATCGATTTAATGTTACGCTTGGTATATACGTTAGTGATCTCGCAGCTAATAACAGCAAATTTGGTATTTAGCTTATGATGTTGAATATGCATTGTTAATATTTTTTCTTGGAAATATAAATTATCTCCAATCATTGATGGCAAAAAAAACTAATGAAAAGCTTGTTGTTCGTGAGAAGGTTTCGACCGTTTGCTTGTATATATATTAAATAATTTATTAGTACAGGCAACCGAAGCTTCCATCACTTCCACTCGAGTTCTCAGCAAATAAAAATTCTCCATCTCACTCAGTCCCAACAAAATAGGGATTATAATTTTATCATTCGATTTAACGCGTAAAATAAAATATTAAGAAAGAAGTAGAGTGTTTATAAAGTATCTTTGTGAAAAGTTTCCTGGTCAATCCGGTGTAATGATGAACGAGGAAGTCTTTGTTGGGACTGACATAAGAAAAATCTCAAAAGATTCATTAAAAGAAAGTGAAAGTAAAGAATGCCAAGATTTTTTTTTAACAAAGAAGACCCAAACTACAAAACTTTGATTGCTAAATTGTTACAAAACAACAAAATGTCAGCTGCAAGTTGAGTGACATAGTTAATTTCCTTCACTTACATGTGGTTTACATTCCAGAGAACACAGGAGCTTTTAGTGAGGAACAAGGAGAACATTTTCATCGAGATTTAAACGAAAAGGAGTGCAGATACCAAGGTTGATGGAATATTAATACGTTGGCAGACTATATGATGTATTTTAAAAATGAAAATAAAAATCACAACCGAAAGAGCACAAAAAGAAACTTTGATAAAAAATAATTTGATTTTTCAGTGTCTTATAATAAATTAGCAACACATACAGTATGTATCACCACTCTTTATTTCAGCTACATATTGACGTGTGTTCTGCCTTTATTTCAAGTCAAAATAGAAAACTAATCTAAACTGTACAGGTTTTCGTAATTTTTCGAACTTATTATGCCGGCAAATCTTACCTGATGGAAAAAATATCATTTCTTGAAATCAGTGCAAAAAAGCTGCATAAAGATCACATAACAAAATCAAAACCATTTTTATAACATTTATTTTTCCAGTCCTGAATTTTCATACATAAACTTCAAACTCCAAATTCTATTAATAATCAATGTGGCTTTTTTAATTAAAATAACGTAAGTCAATGACTCTTTAAATAACATTGAAGCTTTTGCAACGCATGATCTCAAACGACCTGCATGATACACCGAAAAGTTATTCTTTTACCACCAAACTGGAGCAGCCGCTTGTGTCACAAAAGGTTGATTTACGTGCTGGTCATGCAGAAGATTTTGCACGAGTTATCCTTCCCAATTCCGATATACCAAACGAACTTTGTTTATCAACATTGCATACGAGCTTGTTTTAAATCACTCCATATTAGATAAACACTATAGCTAGGATGCCCTGAAAGCTAAATTTTTTTAAGTTTAACATAATTAGAGAAAACCATTTAAATTTGGGATGAATCTGTGGCTCTGGACGCTAATAAAAAGCGAAATTATGTTTCCGTGCTTGGTATTTATTCATCACATCAATAAATATTAGAATCTTATAGCTCAGATAACATTAAGTTATTTAATGTGCCTGAGCCTTGCGTGTTAGGTTATTTCAGCTGTTATATTTGCAGTAAAGTAACTCAGGTCGTCAGTTGTGTATCTCTGTGTATACCTAAATATAAATAGAGAGAATAATCATGTTTGGTTGTAAAATTGCGAAGCGCTGCTGAAATTCTTGATTGAACTGCATCTGATATAGCTAAACCGCATATCCTGTTTTATGTTCATGAGCATGTCAATTAAATGTCATTTTGAATCTGCGTTCGCCCTCTTGATCTTCAGCATTCTAACAATACGAGCGGCGTGCTAATGAATTTAACTCCAGTTCATTGATAACAGTGGATTTAATAATTGTGTAATATATTTCAGTGAGTAACCCGATAATCTCAAAATAGATTTCATCGATTTTGTTTTATGGACAACATTCCATGACTTATTCTGACTCAGTATTAAATTTAGTAGGATATGCTGAGGTTTTAATCGTCCCTTTTTTCATTTCTTAAAGGCATTCTGCCTTTAGTTTTTATCCAGTTTTCAATAAGTGTCATATGTTATGGTTATTGTTATGTTAAATTTTGGTGACAATCTGTTTATAAGTTTATTTATAGCGTATTCAATAGAAGTATTTACTTATTATTACTGGCTGCTTGTTGTTCTTCAAACTCTAGCAAGTCTAATTCTTTACTAACGACCGATTGCGCCTATAAAGATGATGCTCTATATAGAAGCATTCGCTATAATAAACCTTTGTCAGCAGTGATCTTGATATTATTAACTTTTTAGCATTGTTTGGCGATCGTGTACTTCTAAGTGAATTACTAATGTAAAAATTAAGCTGAAAAATTCTTGGCGGTCCTTACTTAGTTCAACAAATTTTTCCAGGCGTTTTGGAAGTGAACATCAAAGCCATTATTGGCGTACAGTATTGAGGTATTTTAGATACAATCATAAAACACATTGAATAGAGCATCTTCAGAATTATCATTATACGGTAATGTCGGCACAATTCTAAAACGAAAGAAAAGCTCAGAAAATTATCTTCTCCATTCAAAGTCGCTTTGTCTAGGGCACGACTATGGTCCATGTCATTCATATCCGTAGGCCTGGTATAACGAGATTGCATGTCCATCAATAGATAAATGCTATGCTTTGTCATTTGTATCAAAGCTATAATCAAATGCAGATTTTGACAACCAATTCCAGATAATAAATAAATGTGATATATATTTTCATTAATTCTACCTGATTCAGGTGCTGCCTTGAAAATTCTTGTTCCCGGTCAAGAAAAGTAACAGACCCGAACCTTATCTAAGTTTTTATTATGGTGAACATCGTCCAAAAAATAACAATTCAATAATGTCCTAATTTAGCTTGTTCAAATTTTTTTGTGACGACCATCGTCATTACTTTTTTCTCCGAGATTAAATATTGCATGGTATTGATATTATTTCTTTTTCCATCCGAGCATGAGTATCGTTTTTTTTTTGTGCTGAAATCAAGAAAAAGGTCAGAAATAAAGCCCATTCGCATCCTTTGTGGATTTATTTTGCAAATCAATGAAAAATCTACTGAAAAATATACAATTTCGTTGTAAAAAATCTCGTATTAATCGTTCGTTGGTTTTCGTCTTATTTTTATAAAATTGTTGACAGCATAAACTGAAAGCAGCCTTTAAATAATGGCAACGTGTTTCTCATGCATCGTTTGTATAGCACTGAATTTCAAAAAATTATTGACGCATTCATTTATTAAAACTTGATTTTTGTAAGTTGGATTAATTACAACCTCCTTAGATCGAAATTTGGACTGAATATGTACTGATCATTGAGCGTGTGAGTAAGTCAAGCTCGTCGCTTCAAATGCTATTTACATGTGTTTCACGTTGCACTCAAATTATTCAAAAGTTCAATATCTGACATTATCACTCATATTTAATTTTTACTCTAGTTATCACATTTTTTAGCCGCTTCTATTTTCCTCGTAACGGTTGGCGTATTTCGATAGAATTCAACCCGTGAAACTGGACCTCATGAGAGCTTTTAATTGAACCGACGCCTGCCTCCCTGCGTCTGTCCGCCTCTCCGGACCTGTCCGCCGCCGTATCTGCTGGGGTCGTACTGGCCGTCATGCACGATGCCCTGCGCCCTCTCGCGCGCTGCCCTCTCGATCTGCTCGATGGCGTGGCGAGGCAGGGGGTGAGGTTTGGGCAACAGTGGGGACTCCACGCGGTAGCCTCCTTCGTCCGCCACGAAGCTGAACTGAGCCGGAGTGCCGTCCGGGAACGTGAAGCTGGAAGGAATTTTCTTGTTTTGAAATCGCTCGTCAATATGAATTAATTTCAATTTGTTATTTGAAATATCATTAATATCTCTAATTTGATTCAATTTTACAGAGTTAAATAGGAAAAATATTCGATTTCGAAAATCCATAATCAACTACACAATGCATACAACAAATAGCTCCTGAAGAAAGATTAGACAATATGTATATTTATGACGAAAGAATAATATATTCTTCTGTTATAAATAATACTTCTCTTCACCTGAAATGAAAGAAATATTTTCCAGCCCCAGAGAATTCTTGATCAAATAAATACACAAGAAAATTCGAAAAAATGGCATGCAATACTCTTCGCATAATCTACGTCAATTTAAAACTTACTATCGTAAATAGTACTGAAAACTTACGCCCATCCTCCCTGAGAAACAACAGCTCCGTTAGGTCCCGACGGGCTGCCCTGTTCGTTTCGTCGGATGCCGTTGCCGGTTTGGAACTCGAAGTTGTAGGCGCCGTTGAGGGGGCCGCTGCTCCGCTCGCTGATTATTGGGATGATTTCGAAGGGGCCAGACTGACGTTGGCGGTTGTAACTCTGGGGCGCGCACACGGCGGCCGACACCAGCGAGAGAAGCACTACGTACTGCAAAATATTGCTCGATATTAACGTGTCATATGTGTATACGATTTTTCTAACATTACGCCTACATTGTATATTAATCAACCATACAAATTTGCCCGGTGAGAAAATAAGTCGGTGTAATGTTTGATGTCTCTTTTCGGTTATGTTTAATATAGTGCCCAAATACTAGTGCCATAGATTTAGTGCCTGTAATTTCTCTCAATGTGGTATTCAAAGTTTTCAGAAGTGGGTTGGAGCAGAAATTGTGTCTGAAATCGTCGATTCACTCTTTGGAAAATGCTCATCTTTAAAAATCATCTTCTGTGAAGCGATGAATTATATTCCATCGCAAGTCATCGATTTTGGAAACTGATAATTACTGACAGATGAGGATAGCATATAAAATATTTAATCTACTATAATTCCTTCGAAACCTATTCAGAGGCTAATAGTTCGACAACAAACTTTATCGTTCCAATAAATAAACCCTTGCAAGAATTTAAAATTCACATTCTCTCTTGACTGAAGCCTCTGCCGTTGATTTCTGAAATAATCGGAACATCCAGACGGCAACTTATCTACAAAATCTGTCAACTTTTCGTGAGTAACTGAGAGCTTTACAAAGACTCCATTCATTAATCTCTAAAAGTTTACCCATAATAACTCAACGCAAGACATTTAGCATCACTTTTCGCTTCGTCGGACAACCCCATCAGCCATAACTCAAGTCATAACTTGGGGATTGTTGTTTACTTACCGAATACATGTTTCGAGGATGAAGAGCTCAGGTCAACTGTGAGGATCCCAAGACCTGCAGCGCCTTATATACTCTGCAGCCAAATGCAACCTTTGACCTCGTGGGAGGAGCGAGATGTTCTGACACGAGTTAGGCGTCAGACTTGAAATACGAACATCTGAAAATGGATGTCCCTGGGAACCGAAACTTGTAAAGAGGTGGATACTTATATCCCAAGGCACGCAGACGAATGAAAAATAACGGATAGAGCAGAAGAATGGCAAATAACGGAACGTAACCTTGGTCTCATCCTATGCAAGGACTAAAAACAAAGATAGCAACGAATTTTTTAGCCACCCACCGATAAATTGCGTTAGTGTTATCCATCTCTCTCTGATAGCAAGGAGAATTGAATAAGGATCTTTACTTTAATTTAAAAAGAAAATTTTATAGAATCTTACCAGCTGCTTTGAAGGATTGTATTTTTTCACTGTCTTCGTGCAAATTTACGCTGAAAATTTGTTAAAATTAACCGAGTTTTTAAGTTCATTTGGAAATCAATTATTTGCCTATAATGAATAATAACTGGTTCATATTCATATTAAAATAACATTTTTTTCTAACAATAATACGAATTGTTTATACGATTCAAATTAGTAATAATATTAATACAGATCTGCGCTAACATCTGTTATCTCATTTGAGAGAAATTATTCAGTAATAAAAATATGTTGAATTGATAATTTAATGCTACCTAAATTCTGTCATTACAAGTTCACTCTGAGGAACATTTATTAATAAGGAGATGACTTTAATCCTGAGTCTATTGGGAACTCGTTGGCTAGTGCTTGGCTAGAATATAATTTTAGTACGATTTGTGCCCGGCCTTGAGTTCGGTAAGGGCATCAAGCGAGCTTGAAGGGAATGGAAAGATTACTGAGGCATCCTTGGACGCAGGTTCTTCCATCATGTTTTTTTTGCGATAAGTTTATGATTTTTCTTAAGTAATGCTCATTATTTACAACAAATACTATGAAATGAGCAAAAATTGCAAAATTTAAATCAATGTTTTAAATTTAGTTTAAAATTCCTAATCAATCAATTGATTTCACCCAATATGAAATTTTTCCCAATTTTCAATCCCTCCTTATTGTAAAACTATGTGAACAGCTTCCAATAAATGAAAAAAACATGCGAACATTAGCATATGTGAACAGCTTCCGTGAACGTTACAAATTTGGCGTCGTAGATTATTGAACTAATGTTTGTAATGGCTATGTTAGAAATTTCCACATTCCTTATGGTCTAAATTTCTTTTTCTCCGTACCTATTGCTGGGTATGGGTTTGTAAATAGTAAAAGTTGCCTGAAAGACTTTGTGATGACAACATCCGTTTAATTTTGCTCCGTAGGAGTGTATTGTATGAAGCCATTCCTTCCTAATTCCTGTATTTAAGTTTGAGTAATCACTCTTTGTTTTTCGTTTTATTTATTTTTGTTGAAAATGCATGTTCGCGCTTTCTTTGATCAGGAAAGAGCCGACTCCAGTGTTAAATTTGGGGGTTAGCCTTTTCTTGTGGCACGATCACCCTAACGTTTGAGCTTCGGCTTTATACTCGAATAACGTTAATATTTGTTCCTAACCTTTTACGAAAGCTTGGTACTTTCCTAAGCTCAACTTGCTAGTTAATTATTGGAGTCTGCCCTCCCTTTCTACCACTTTGAATAATTTCCCTCTACATGGTCTCTTAACTTGCCTCTTAAAATTAAATTTCATAAGCTTGGTGGCTAAAGATTTTAAGGTGGATACGAGGCTGTTAATATAGTGACATAGTGCGTCTTACATTTAGGCTCGTTGTGCCTATAATTTTGATTACCATTTATTCTACAGCTATTTTTTTCTATTTTGTTCGATAGAATAACTGCAAATCCGGTGGGACACATCGTTCGATTTTTTGTAACTTTCAGCAACCCAGTTTACAATTCAACGAGCTTTCTGTTTGTTCATGGTGTGTAAAATTTGGCTTCTGCGAGTGAATTTCTGGAATCTTATTGCGACATTGGAATACTATTACTGTAATGCGCAATTGTAAAATTAACAAGTTATTTCTTGTTTCTACAGTTATGTTGAGCCGGGTTTATTCGTCGGTATAACGTCGATGAGCCTGTGTCGGAACCTCTACCAAGCGTTATTTTTTGGGACTTTTCTCAATTTTCTTTCACTTTTCTTTATTTTCTGTGAATGTGTCTGCTTCCTCAAGATTTGGACCAGTCGTCTTTGCGATCAAGTTCCACAATAAAAGTTCAATTTGCTTACCGTTTTTGTATTGAGCTTAACAGCTACTCCCAGTAGTTCAAGTCATTAAAATATTCTGTATTCTGATGAGGGCTGCTGAGTTTTTCTTTTAATTTCTTCTTATAAGTACCTGAAATGCTTCTTAAAATACATTTCAAATTATTAAATTTAGAACCGCGGTTTTATCATTTCATTTGACGAAAAATATATGGGAATAAAAACTTCTAAATTGATTTGTTAATTTTGAAGGATTTAAAGAAAATCATCAACTTGGTTATTGCTTTACTTCGGGAGACATCCGTACAGGAGCGGCTTGCTCTAGAAAAACACTATTTGTATTCGTTAGTAGAAAATTACGATAAATGCGATACTCACATCATAATAATTAACCTAGAGCGTTTCTACTATTCCTTTGGAATATTTTACACTAAGTCATAAGATTTAATTTATTGAAATTTTATTTAATAACAATATCGTTCGGAATTAGATTTAGTTCGTTCGAGTACTCGTATCATATAAGAAGGGCGGACTGATCATATGTAAGGACAAGTTTGTTCTTCTATGTTCTGGTTAACAAATATTCTTTTCTTTATTACAGGCTGCTCAAAATAATGTCACATATATATTTTTATCGGAGTTTAGTGAACAGACAAGCGAAGAACTTCAGAAACAAATACAATAATAAATTTCAACGTTCCAGTTAATTCATTCTACAAGTATATTAAAAGCGTATCAGCTATCAGAATAACGAAATGTTACTAAGAACATCAGCAATTGTAACATCTACTTATGTGAAACTAGATAAGACGCAATACAGTCGATCAATATTTGTATCCAAACTTATTAATTCTTTGAAATTATAATTATTTCCCTTTACGGGTCATATAAACGTTACGTGTTCAATCGAGTGAACGCTATTTAAAAATGCTACATGAATCACTGATGCATTCTCCCTCCTCTTCCGTGCTTGAGCTGTTGAAATCCAAGATGACATCCGATTTTTGACTCGCAATCTGCACACCGAGATCTTGATCATCGTGTTTCTGTACGAATTCTTTTCATCCAATTTGGCTACCGAATAACGGGCGTCCGAGCTGGTTACCAAATTGTTGGCCTCCGAGCTTGCCACTGAATTGGTGGCGCCCGAGCTGGCTTCCGAATGTCGGCCTTGTATGCTGGCCGCTGAATTGCGAGCTTCCGAGCTGTCCACTGAACGGCCGACGTCCAGCCTGGCTACCAAACTGCTGGAATTGTGTATGTCCGGACTGTCCACCGCCGTACCTGGCTGGATCGTACTGTCCGCCGCCGTACCTGACAGGGTCGTACTGTCCGCCGCCGTACCTGACAGGGTCGTACTGGCCGTCATGCACGATGCCCTGCGCCCTCTCGCGTGCTGCCCTCTCGATCTGCTCGATGGCGTGGCGAGGCATGGGAGGAGGGGTGGGCACCAAGGGGGACTCTACGCGAAACCCGAACTCGTCGGCAACAAACCTGAAGTCTCCGACCGTGCCATCAGGGTAGGTCACGCTGAGATAAGAAGGGGCAAGTTACATTTTCCATGCTGCAACATGTTAAGAAGGATAAGAATAAATATGTTTAGTAATCCGCTCTAACAAAAGCTGAAATTCTCTTATTCACATCAGGATGCAATCCTCAAATCATTAAAACTTTATATTTTAATTAACCATTCTGCTGAAATTGACTTCACACTCTGGATACAGACAACGCCATATCTTTTTACAACACTTCTCTTTAACTTCACTTCTTGTCTGTTTGTCTGTCTGCCACAAATCTTGTAATCGAAATTCAATACACTTCTACTTATCTTACCGATCTGGTGACAATGCATGAATCAAATGACAAAATAAATAATTTTAGGAATAAATTTTTTTTTTCAATATTAAAAAAAACTGAAAAAAATAATTTTGTCAGCTACAAACCTTATAATTGGTATTTGACACACTTTTACCTGTCCAATTAATATGAAATTTTGCACAGTTGTGTGAAGTTGGAGGCAATGCATGAATCAATTGACAGAATAAATAATAAAAAAATTATATATTAAAAAATTGGAAAGTTAATTTTTTTGATATCCGAAAATAAAATTAGAAATTCACTGTACATCTGTAACATTGGAAACACTGGATTCTTTAGAAGTGTTGTCTTTGAAAAGTAATTTTTAAACGTATATTATTACTTATATAAACCGATGAAACTTAACATTCGTTCCCCATTGTGAGATTAAATTAAAAAAAATGGTATCTCCTATGTATTTTTTTTTCAAAAAACGGATGACGATAAAACTTTTTCGACTAAATGAATGAATTACGTTCTACCAATAAATTTCATCTTGTCAACTACTTCTAATGTTGCAGCATGGAAAATTCTAAAAAATTCATGTCATGTCAAATTCATATATTCGTATAACAAAATTCATATCATCTGTCCATTTAATTTATCCCTTAACTCGAAATATGCATTTATTTCATAATCTCGGTTCATAAAATAACTTCCTGTCAATTAAGTTAAATTCACCTCCATCCGCCCTGCTGAACGACTGCTCCGTTGGGACCGGATGGAGTTCCCTGCTCATACCGCCGCACTCCGTCGGCGGATGCGAAGTCGAAGTTGTAGACGCCGTTGCTGGGACCATCGCGGTTGTCCCGCAAGATGGGAACTGGTCCCTGGTTGCGCTGGTTGCCGAAAAACCTCGCATTGTTGAAGTTACTGGGGACACTTATCACGGCCGAGACCAAGGTCACGAGAAGAAAAACCTGATGAGATTTGGGAAGGGAAATATTTAACTGAAGAGAGAAGTTTTACAAAAAAGAACATTTCGATAATTTTGATTAATGGGAAGTTGTAAGTCGTGATCAGAATACAGAAGTCGTTCCAGCATGGACATTTTTTGTAGCCTGTTTCTAACGGACAGAAAATGTTTCTAAATCTATATATTTAAGAAATAAATCATGAATGCACTAACAATCACTCAGTCTTCATCAACATGCATTTTTAATATTCTTTGAAGAAAAATTTTTTCGCATGATTTCCCGAGATTTTAATTAAATTGAAATATCCTATTTCAGTTTTCATTCAAATTTTCGGACAAAAGTCTAACAAATGCCGCTTCCTTCACTCGGATAGATTTCACTGCTAATATGAAGCTTAACACTTTGATTAAATCGTTCATGTATCGTTTTCTGGTTGCCATGCTCGCGTCTAATCTGCACTCTGACCTTGTGACTCACCGCCTGCATGTTTACTGTGGCAAGTTGGGGGATGAACTACATACCAGCACCTCCACCCAACTCCTTATATACCCATTACGCAATGCCAGTTTCACATGCGTAAAGACATTCAGCCAATCACATTTATGGTCAAATCCAATTATTCTTTTCTTCTCGACACAAACCTAAAACTTTCACCTAACACCATAATCATTTATCATACGATTTTTTATGTTTTTGTTGAAATGATGCATTCATTATAAATGTGAATTTATATACTCGTACCGCATTCATCAATAACAAAAATCACTACTCAAGGAGATGCCGAGGCACAGGAAAGGCCCTTTCAAATTTTGGAATCTGCTCAAATTTCAAATAGTTTCAAAATTGAAAATTTGTAACTCATTTAAACTTTGGAATCTGCTCTACTAACACACCATGATTTTCTAACTCTCTGCACTCAAGTTAAGGTAAGCCATGTCAGTGTCCTATTATAATATCTTATCTTTGCTAAAGTAATTTCCATGTCGAGTATCAACGCGCTAACAGCTTAATTGTAATGATCAAAAATCGCCCATATGAATTTTTTATCACTAAATACTAATTAAATAGTTTTATTTTAATAGCTGAAATAAATTTTGTGGACATCTTTTTCATTGATTGTTGCAGCTGTCATTCGCTGGTATGGCTTCCCTAAAGCGTAGAGTTTCAAAACTTTCCATGCTTGCAACTTGCCACTTCAAATAAAAAAGATTTCATAAATAATATTACTTTTAAAATATATTAAATTATTTCTAGTCGTCGGTTTAGACTAATATGGAATTTGCTGATAATCATTAATTCAAAATATAAAATTTGGCATTAGCTTAAGTCAAACCTTACTTTTTCACTCAATCAATCTTACCCTTTCAATACTTTTCAACAATCGTTACTTTAAACAAAAATTATCTTTGAGCTGTATAGTGGGTAATACAATAAAAAACTACATATCTGGGTACAAAAAAAAAAAACATGTTTCATCCAGCTTTTGCTACCATCGCTTTGAGTATAAGCATATTCCCAATAAAAATGTTCGAGTTTGTAAGAAATAAATGGGAAATGTAAGCATAGGAAAGGGGGTTTCATACTTTCAACAAGGTAAATCCAGACCCATTTTTAATTGTGTCGAACGGCGAAACACGATTGAGGCACAAAAAATACATAATTCACTATTGTATCAACATTGTGTGGGATGGAGGCTGTTACTGCATCAACGTAAATATATGAATCAGGTTTTTCAGAACAGCTATTACGAAATTTGTCAACAGTTTGTGAAATCATTTTATTGAGATATAAACCTTTCAAATTTACCTTCAATATTATTTATACCTCATGGAAATAATGATAACTTTATGATGATTTAATTTAAATTTCGCACATTCAACGTAACCTAATTATAATATAATAGCATACACTGGCAATAAGATTCCAATTAAGGTCACGATACGTAGGTACCCTATATTAATTAAGATGCTCCACAACTTTTTAATTTTTCTTCTTCTCCTATACTTTAAGTAACTTTTTTGGTATTTATAGTTAATATTCTCGTCCCAATATTGCATCCGTCGGTCACTGTGTTATTTCTTGAACCCAGAAACGATCGACAGTTGAGGGCGCTTGCGTGACCCGGAGATGCGCTGCGGTGCTCTGAAACAAAGACCTGCCAAGCAATTAGCCACGCTAGGAACGTTGGGTGGGCAAATGATCAAAGTCTTTACTAGTAATTGGCAAGAAGACGAGACGGTTGCACAACATTGCAGGTATGAAAACCTATGGGCGAAAATAGGAATGCAAACAGGCAATGCGTGTAGTTAAAAATTCTAAAGTATTGCTCCCGGATTTCTCATGACGCTGATACGCTGAAGATAAAAATATAGAAATTTTATGTATTTTAATATCGAATGATGATCGAAGCGTATAAATTTAGATACAATGCTTTGCTATATTTTATTGTTTATGCCATTCATTAAGTTTCGTATTAATTTTTGCTATCCAAACTCTTCCAACAAATCCAGTTAGTTTCGAAAGATGGTAGTTTCAAAATTTTTCGTTATTAAAATGCGTAGAAATCTTAAAAAGTGTGTTTGATAAATTTGCGGGGGAAATATTATCATATTTATTGCGGATAATTTTCATTCCTGCAAAAATACATTACTCTAATCCAGCGTTTGTGAAACATAATTTCCTTCATTGATTTCTATTGTGGTTCCATTTCAGAGCTCAGCAAAATATGGGTTAAAAATTTATTTCATTATTCCATTACCTCATGAAAAAATGCTTATTAGGCGAATTTTCGGTGATCATCAAATAAACTTTATTCTCACTAACATAACATCGTAAATTGAATGCACGATCGACTATATCCTTGTCTGTTGCTAGAAATGTGGATCCTTGTTATACCAATCAAATTTTACTGCTGGTAAATTAAAATGATTTTAACTTCGCCGACCAAAATTGTGTTTCACTGAGCGTTGAATGGGGAATTTCACTGATGTGAATCAGAGCTGCATTTGCGGATACAAGTCATGAGAAAACGACTTTGTTTCCTGAACTTAAAGTCTCACGAAAATTTGAGGAGTTAACTGAAATATTCATGGTTAAACCCCCTTTTTTCTTCCCGTAACCTTTATCTTGTATATTCAAAACGTATAATTTTTGATCCATAAAGTCTCCTATTATAATATTCCTGAACAAGACTATAGACTGTTAATATTTCTCAAGTTTTTCAGCATACAAGCCACGTTTTCTCATGCTTGTTCTGTTACGCAAGCAAATTTGAAAGTAGGGAAACCTTGCATAACAAGACCTTCATCTGATAATATTTCTTGTGAGTAATTAACGCTTTTCCAAAAGGATTTACCCTTCCTTGTTTGTGTATCTTCCTTTATCAGATTCATATCTTTTATTGTCGCGCCCTTCACTGACGTACAATCCTTCTTAACGATAAAATTGATCGCTTGGTTCTCTCTTTCAACAAGACAAAGCCTTGCTTCCTTTGTTTCTTATAAAATAACCTCTACTAAACTAACACGTACACATTTCCTTGTAACATCACGCAGACGCTTTTGATGCGCGGTAATAACGAGGTCAAAAATGCATCAATAAATCGTCCCTGGTAATTTATGACCTTCGACAAGCATTTCATGTTTCTCAAGATAAAGAAGAGAATATCTTGCGCATATCGTGCGGAAACTCAAGCGACAAACTTTAGGTACATAAAGCTTTTGGGGACAAAGGAGGAAGAAAATCGCACTTCCTCAGTTTTTGTGACCATAATGAATCTTTTAGATTTTGTCGAGGAATTTTTCCCAACGATAACAGGAGTGAGGAACTTGCGATCGAGACGTCTCGCCAATTCCTACGACTTGGAGGAGCCACCCGCAAAAGAGGATCCTGTAGGACGATTTAGTCACTTGTCGTGTATGGGAAAGGCATTTCTCTAGTGAAATGTTCTCATGAGCCATCATCATTTTTAGTGTTCTTGCATGCGGATGCGATCAGAATATCGCGAATGACTGGATCTGATCTAATATATGATTGAGATCAAAATAATTCAGTCAGCGAATCTCAACCTTAATCAGAAATGAGATTGTCGTGAGATTTGAGTACGATAAAAATTGCAAATAAATTCCCTACCTCGGCATTCTTGCACACATAGTCGAATCCCAATTTGACTTTATCCTTTATCTATTTCAACCAAGTGATCAAGATCAGAATAGATGTTCATATTGAAGTTTCCAAATTTTTAATATAGAAAACAGAATGTCAATTTATAAATCCAAATTCACCTAAAATTTTTTATTTGGTTTATGTGAATAATTCTGGTCCTGAAAAATGTGTGAAGCCAACAAGTATAGGAATTAAAAATACCACTCCAATGAATTACAGGAAGCAGCTGAGTGAAGACGAGGAGCTGGCATTAGTTTAGCCGCAAAGTTTCATGCTCGCTAATTGGAGGATAGGGATCTGCAGACAATTTTGCATTCAGTTATAATAATAAGACTTAACATCTCTGAAAAATCCGCTTGTTAAGAGTTAAAAAGTTAGGATTCATTTTATTGGGTTTCATACAGTTTTAATTAACTCAATCCAAGCTGACTCGGTGCACGAACAAAAATTGTGAACTTTCTATATTTCTTATACCACTAACTCATGTGAAACTCATGTGAACAAAATATTTGGCTCAAGTTTTAGGATATTTTCAGGCATATACACACAAAAAAACACTCAAATGCATGCATATTCATTCTCTATCTCTTTATTTTATTATGATTTCTGTGTTCAGAGCAAACATGACCCTCTTCAATTTTGAAGTCTTTAATTGGGTAAAGCCGAATTCAGTTTCATGGTGATATTGACCTTGACAACGCAAGCCTTCTTAATTATATCAGTTTTTTATATCGTGGTGATTAAGCAAGCCTCAATTCGCCCAAATTACATTAATGTAATGCCAACCTCGTGCGAGTTTCCGGCCCATCTGCTGAATATTGTATTACGTGGGCAACAAACCGTGACGCCACTCTAACTCCCGCCTCGAGGTCGATGTGATTAATATCTTAAGGACCGAGACGAGTGTATTATTATACTGTCAATCAGCAACGTAGCCAACACCCAGCAACGCTGTATGAATTTCATGTGAGATGTGTTGACAGACTCATGTTCTTCAGGAAATTGCGTCGTGTTCAAAGGGAAACAAAATACAGTCAGATGTAAAGGTAATTGCATATACATTACGGTTTTTTATATGGTATGAGTTGATTCGCTTCAACCATTATCGAAAGTTTCACCCAATCAATATGTTAAAAAAATTTAATTTAATGTCTTGAAGAACTACAGTATTGAGCGACTTTGTTCTGTGCCGAATCAAGAAGCATGCGCACTTAGCAGTCATCACGTGGCGTCGGCGGCACTAGGAATGCCTTTGTGCACACCAATTTGTGGTCGCGCATCAGAGAGCGCATGGATCGCTGCCGGCGCTGCGTTGAAGTCACCATGAAATTATACT